TGAGACAGGGCAGATGCACTGGGTAGAGGCACAGGAACATGAGACAGGGTAGAGGCACAGGAACATGAGACAGGGTAGATACACAGGGTAGATGCACAGGGACATGAGGCAGGGCACTCCCTCAACAGGATGCCAGCCCCTCACAGGTTAGACACATGCCGCAGCTCATTTAGAGATGCCATTCAACCAAAACCATGTGCCTTTAGTCTGCAGGAGGAGTCCAGCACACCCAGGGGAAGTCGCGTGGATGCAGCAAGAACATGCAGACTTCACACGCTTAAAGCCTTTATTAAAGAACCTGCATGACGTACATTGTCAAATACTCGGCTTCCTTTGTACTTAGTGTTTGTAGTTCCCTGAGTAACTGAAAGTAAAGTATTACCTCCAACAATTGGAATTCCAGGAACAGTATTTTATATAAGATGACAATTCCCTGGTAACTAGTCAGGGGGCATAATTTCCATGTTCACTGAGTAAATATGTTTATGCATATAAGTAAATAAGTCAGCAGGGGGCTCAGTGGGCAGCACTATCACCTCCAGGGTTGGGGGTTCTAATCCCAGCCCAGTTGTGTGGTGAGTTTGGATGTTCGCCCCGTGTGTGTTTGTGCGTGTGCATGTGCGTGTGCGCGTGTGTGCGTGTATGTATGTGTGTTGTTTGAAGTACAAAAATACAATGTGGAACCGCCAAACTTTGCACACATAAGTCATCATGAACCCAACCCCCCCCCCCCCCCAAATGATGAAATGATCAGCAAGCATTAAAAATTTCCCTCTATTGTTATGTAGTGATGTCTATATTGAAGGTTATTGAGAATCCATTAAAGTTCATGAAATGATGCTTTGTTATTGATAATTGTTCCAGACAAAATTCTTATGCGGACCTTTGATCAAAAAGTTTGGAAATCCCTGGTCTAGTATACATATCAGTGTCCTCCATGAGAAGAGGCCTGCAGCGTAACCCGAGAGCCGTCTCTCTGCAGGCTGAAGGCGAGGTGGCGGCTCTGAACCGCAGGATCCAGCTTGTGGAGGAGGAGCTGGACCGTGCCCAGGAGAGGCTGACCACCGCACTGCAGAAGCTGGAGGAGGCAGAGAAGGCCGCCGATGAGAGCGAGAGGTCAGCGGGCGGCGGGGCATCCGCGGCGGGGTTTCTCCAGTGGACAGGGGTCGGGGCACCCTTACGGTTTCTCCAGTGGACAGGGGTCGGGGCACCCTTACGGTTTCTCCAGTGGACAGGGGTCGTGACACCCTTACGGTTTCTCCAGTGGACAGGGGTTGAGGCACGCTTACGGTTTCTCCAGTGAACAGGCGGCGGGACACTCCGCGGGATTCTCCCATAAACGCATGCTACATATAAGGCTATCAAGCATTTTTTCTTATTTCGGTTATATATGACAACACATGAAGTCCACTACAAGTCAGTGTTATTTCTATGATTATGGTTGTCTGGAACCACTGTCCATGATTCAATTATGCATTAAAAACTAATATTGACAAAATGTACTGGACATCAATGCAGAACTTATATATTTGGCAATACATTAATTTTATATGCATTTTACATGAATAAATTACATATATGTCTAATGACACATTATGTTAAAATGCATTGTATATTTATTTTGAGTGTCATATACAGATCTTGTATGATTTGTGTAAAACACATGAGAGTCATATGTTATTTTCAAAAAACTTTTCCATTTGGGCGTGGTCGTGAAGAGGCATGAAGGTGATCGAGAATCGGGCAATGAAGGACGAGGAGAAGATGGAGATTCAGGAAATGCAGCTGAAGGAGGCCAAGCACATCGCAGAGGAGGCCGACCGCAAATACGAGGAGGTCTGTACACCTGGGAATAACCCCCAGGAGCCCTACGCTGCCATCTTCACCCCGGCCTGTTCCCTTACCTCGGTTTCTCTCACTCACAGGTGGCTCGTAAACTGGTGATCCTGGAAGGAGAGCTGGAGAGGACTGAAGAGAGAGCGGAAGTCTCAGAGCTGTAAGCACTGAAAACATCTTCATTACAGTCTCCTCTGTGGAGCTTCTGCACCACGTAGCTCCTGGTGGGTTGGCACAGACACACTATGAAGCAGATGTGCTCCTCCATCTCCACACTGCACTCTGTGGACCTGCAGCAGGCCTAAAAGGAGGAGAACAGAAGGTGGTGCACTAATATTATAGAGGCAAAGGAAGAGACAAAAAGGCTCCATCAAATTTAGTTTTGGAGCTTTTATTTACACATCACTGGCAAAGGCTGGTTAAAGGCACTTTTGCTGACTTGAGACGTTGATTTAATTTAAGTGTTGTCAGCGGAACGCCATTGTTGCTTTTTGGGCCAGTCCTGCTTAACTTATGGCCATCCTCCTTTGCAGAAAGTGCATGGATCTGGAAGAAGAACTGAAAAATGTCACCAACAACCTCAAGTCTCTAGAAGCTCAGTCTGAGAAGGTAAAGCTTCTCTCACATTTTCTTTTATTTTAGTACAAAGCTGTTATTGCCTTGTTTTATTCATTTTATTCATCTGTTTTATTTGGTCTGGTAAGGACCCTCAGCCTGGCATTCCTAAGGCCTGCCTTGCTGCATGACGTCATCACTTGTTCCTTTCTGTGTCGTTTGCTTGGCATCACAGCGTGTTCCCCTCACTAATGACATCACGCTACATGAAACATGGCAGTTATAACAGCTGGGCAGCAAAACTCTCACAAGGCTTCTACTTTGTAAGCAATATCTGGGTTAATTTTGTATTTCAGTACTCAGAAAAGGAAGACAAATATGAGGAGGAGATCAAGGTTCTCACTGACAAGCTGAAAGAGGTGAGGTGGCTGTTTTTGTCATTACTGACTGGGTAGCCATATATCAAGAGTAAATATGATGACACACAGAGCAGCGTTGTAGCAATGTGGCTGGGCTGATTGATGTTACTCAGTTACTTTCCCATTGATACTGGGCAACACATTTCTATTTTAAAACTGTAATCAGCAGTGGGCAACTTTTCACGATCATCCAGATGCAGGTAAGTTGCCCTTTGTCTCACCTGGCTGGCGGTTGCCCGGCAACATTGCTCAAAAAGTTGCCCTGTGTTTCATTGCCTTGATGTCTTTGCCTTCTTATTGACCTCCTGTGTCACTGTGTCACTTCCAAGGCTGAGACTCGTGCTGAGTTTGCCGAGAGGACGGTGGCCAAACTGGAAAAATCCATTGACGACTTGGAAGGTAAAAATATTTAGTCTATGACTGGTATCAGAAAAACAAATTTATCATTAGAATCTGACAACAGAATAAGGTCTAGCTAAAATTTATATCCAGTTATAAGTTTAAAAGTGCATCCTATTAGCAATGAACATTTTCTTTTAGACATCTAGTTTTGATGTAGATTTTACTAATCTAGTAATGAAAGGTATATGTGCACCGGTGTCCAATTGGAAAAGCATACGTCTGTAATTAAAACGTTAGCTTAAGGAGAGGCTTTGTACAGTCATCGCTATCATTTTAGTTATCGACAGAATTACTGTACTAGGAAAGGCTGGTTTTCACACCGGAAAGTTCCTGTGCGTTATCCAGGACTCCCTCCTCTTAATGACCTGCTCTCTTTCTTTCTTTGCCTTCCCTTCCGGAATCACCGGCTTTTACCACACGCCTTTCCTGTTCTCCATCTTCCATGACCTTCACTCCTTTCCTCCAATCGCTGCTGACCTGTTTCTGCTGCCTGCTGACCTTTGACCTCCAGATGAACTGTACGCTCAGAAGCTGAAGTACAAAGCCATAAGCGAGGAGCTGGACCATGCCCTCAATGACATGACCTCCTTGTAGATGCAGGCTCCCAGCCCAGAGTCACTGACTCCTCTTCCCTTCCTCCTGGCAGATCTGGGCCCGACACTCGTGCCTTTCCTCTCCCAAAGCCCTGTCAGAGGCTCTGTAATCACAAATCTGCAATAAAGCTTATCTGCAGCCTGTGCAGACCCTCTCATTTCTGTATCGCTCTCAAACTCCACCTGCATCCATCTCCATCACTCTGCTTTGTTCCTTCCTCAGTCTGCTATCCATCATTTCCAGCTGATTCATGTGCGTTTGTCTTCTCATTCATCTGTTAGCTGTTACTTGTTAGTGTGATAAAATGAAGTCATGGGAGTTCAGTACATTGATGACATATATCTGTATTTTATCGCTCTGTAACAAACGCTGTAATATGTGACTGCTTGGTACAGCGTAAAGATATCGCAGGTGGTTAACAGACCTGCTTTAGCAGAACTTAGACCTCAGTCTACTAAGGCAAATATGTAAAAAAAAAATTCTTCTCCGTCAGCTCAACTTATCAGATTGTAATTTTACCAGAAGCATTGCAATTTAGGATACCATGGCTCCCCAATGGCTAAGAATGAATACAGTGAGATTTGCTATCACCAAACGCAACTTTGTACCATACCGCTGTACAGCCTTGGTTTGCCTTAGTTTGTGCATAGCTAAAACTGTGTGGTTTTTCCCATATATGGTGGTCACACTAGCAAACACTATGCTCTCCATTTGTCTATATTCATTATATTGACAATGAACCTGAACTTCATATTTCCAAGGTTAGGAAAAATAAGAAAATTGCAATCCTGTGTTTGAAATATTGCTACTTAAATTTGTTTTCCAGAGAAATTGTCTAGTGCCAAAGAAGAAAACTTGGGAATGCATCAAGTTCTGGACCAGACACTGCAAGAGCTGAACAGCTTATAATACAATAAAATAGAAAAAAAATTGAAGACGGAGATGGAGGAAAATTTTCAAAAACATTCCATGGATACTCAATGCCATTCCACCTTCCAAACTGCAGCACTGTTCCCAGAAAAGTGGGGATACACTTCACAATTATTTCAGTAACCTGTCAGCACCTCTAAGTCGTTTATGTTTCATTAAAGCGTCACTCTTTGTAGGTGATTTCCCCTTTCACTTTATCCGTAATGATCATGTTTACAGCCATGGTTGCTCTGAAGACCTTGTGTTGAGAGACCCGCACATATTCCACCCAGCGTAACTCTTAGTGCTTACAGGAGGGGTGAGGGGCGGCTCTTGGAAGTCGGGACAAACCCGTTTATGATTAAATTCCCAGCTGTATGACAGCAGTGGCAGTGGGGGATTTATAAATTAGACAGTACTAATTTAGTGGGAAATTATGTAGCATTATTGGTAGTTTACTGAGGGAAATATTAAAGCTACAAATGAAATATACACTTCTATGTCTGATCAGGGCTAAATGGAACAGTCTGATATTTCTCTACACATTTATTTCATGGTGGTGATAGTTACTGCATCTTAGCTGACTTTGCAACCTGTCTGATTTCCAAGGACTGTCTTTCAATCCCACTGAAGCTGTAACAAGGAAAAGTCTGCATCCCAACATCTGTCTGCTAAATTACATTCCTGTGGTTTATATGAGATGGAAAGGAAATGACACCAAAGCAAATATACGCACTGGAATCTTGATCTTCAAACATATAAATACGAATTGTATATATTTGATTTGATGGTAGTTATTGACAACTGATGGTCCCTGATCCCTGAAGGGTCTGGCCACCATTCTTTGGGGGGGGGGGGGGGGCTATCAATACCAAAGACTAGTCTCTGCTTCATATAACCACGAAACTTTCACAAGATGAAAAGAAAACCATCTTGTCACTGTCTTTTTTTTTCTTTATATAAAAGTGAGGATGGCTTGACATTCTTGCGCTATGGAACAAGTGTGTTGCATTTTTCTCACTTAATCTGTGTTTATTTCATTTTCTCAGCCTTCAATCTAATAAATTTCTTTGAAACCTTTTAAATTTCTATGCTACCTTCATTACAACATTCCAATGCCATCAGTGTCATCCACTTTACTCCTGGTTTCTGTGGCTGTGTCACTGTCTATAAGCCAGCATTTGATTTACTACTCTGGAAATATCTGTACTGGAAATATCGGTACTCAAGTACAGCTGAATGAGTCGACGCCCCCTAGTGGAAAAACCTACTCAGCAGTATTTACGCACATTGCTGGTTCTCATTGCCACTGAGTCCCTTCTTAATTAGTCTGGATTCAGTTATTGGCAGCAGTAACTGCAGATTCACCCCAGATAACACTGAAGGTGTTAGTAAAGCTATATTTTTTCTCAGTATTAAATTAAATCATTTCAAATAAGATCTTTCCCAAATGCAGCCATGTGTTTTGAACACCTTAGTAATGCTGCTGGAACAGACTACAGACGATCACACAGCTTTGCTCTCTATAAAAGGCTGGAAGATGCATTTCATTAAATTCTAAGCGACATGAATACCATCTTCCCACGTCTGGTTTGCACAAACCACTGAACACAGAGTTAGAACAGCAGCAGCTCGGTGTGCAAGGGGGGGATTTGCTGCTTTAAATAACCAATGATTATTTAAAGAAATTCATCAAAAATAATAATACAAAATAACCAAATACTGGGAAAATATTCTATTAGGGCAAATGCAGCTGTGGCAGATTTTTTCTTTCCATACATAGCAATACACATCGATTTTTGTCTCTGCTTGAATAAGGCGGCTGCAGGGGGTTGCTAGGCCTATTTCAGGGGGACTTTAGCCCCCCCTAAAATGTTCTTAACCCCCCCAAAATGCACACTAGTTAAAAAGTGAGCTCTCATTAATTTTCATTATGATCAGACCCCCCCAGGAAAAGGGTTAGCCGCCCTTTTCATAAATCTCTAGTGGTACTCCTGGGCTGACAGACGGCAGTACTTACAGTACTGTGCAAATCTCTTAGGCAACCAAAGGGAATGATGTCTAAATGATCTTTATATTGGAGTAAAACAGCACTATTATGCTTGTCACAAGGTCTTAATTCAGTCATTTCAAAACTTCTGCTAAAATCACCCCATTATTTCCAGTAACCACCCAATACATCCATTTAGCTTTTGACTTGGCCACTAGCACACCTCGTATAGCTAATCAATATCTCATTGACTTTAAGTTAATTAGGCTAATTAATTAAATGAGCTGATTGTGAAATGTAACAAATAGACAGGACGTCTGAGGTGCCCCTGAGGAGAGGTTTGGGAAGTGAAGCGCCATTCTTCTAGCCATCCAGCAAGACATCAACTTTTTGAAGAAATTTTTCGTAGTTTTTATTGTGTTTCTCTTAATTTGCATATGTTCTAATGTTAAATTGTGTTTTTTGTTCAGAGGAAATGTGCATTTACTACGCAGATAAATAGCTTTAAACATTTCTTTTGACTGCCTAAGACTTTTGCACAATACTGTACACAGTACGCCAAGTTTGAGGCTTATCAAGTAAATGAACCACAATAGATCCTAAAATCCATTTTTTAGAAGATATGAATCAGCAAGATACTAGAGGTCTAAAAACTGAAAAATACAAATTTCGAAAAGATTTAAGCAAGGCTGCTCTCTGCTCATCCACCCACCCATCCTTCATAACCACTTACCCAGTACAAGGCTGCAGTGAGCTTGGATCCTATTGCAGAGGACAAAGGACAAGCCAAGGCCGACTGGAGAGGATGCCAATCCCTCACAGGACACACACACACTAACGGCAATGTAGAAATGTGTTTGGGCCGAGGATGAAATCCAAGCGGACATGGTGAGAAAATGCAAACTCCAGACCGCAAGCCTGCGGGCGTGAGCCCATGTGGGAGCTGATTGAGCCTCCATTCCATCCAGTATTTCTAAAATTCAATTTTCAGTATTATTTTTGTGTTGAAATTATAGTCTGGTACACATATCTAGTACAGCATTACAGGACAGGAAAGGAGATCAAATCAAAAACAAAGCACATAGATTTTTCTTTAATTATGACAGCAATTATCTCACATTGCATTTGTTTTTCATCATAACTGTAAGGTACTGTGACACCTGTAGATATTCTCTAAGAAGCTACTGATTGAGGGTGAAACAATACATAGATTTAGAAAAGTTGAGAATACACCTTAATCACCTTTAACAGTCATTATTCCCATATGCTTAGAATTAAAAATATGAAATGTGCGAAGAACTTAAAATCTACATATTTCAAATTCTCAATATTTCTATGGAAAATATACTGGCAATGGGAATATAGCTTCCTTACTTTCTAAATGCTGATATCTAAATGCTATGTGCTAGAAAACAATTTGCCGATCAGTTAAGATTGTCTGAGAAGCCCCACGCTGCAGAGGAATAACGCATGCCCTCAAAATCTGCAAAAATGCTCTACTGCAGGTCCAAGGGTGTTCCTCAACATGTGTACTTGACCGTACTTGTGTTCCTGTGCAGCCGTTTTACATCTTCTTTCACTGCCAGAGTCCAGTTCCAGTAGTAAGAACAGAAGTATAGAGGATGGTAATAATACCCAGATGTCATTCTTGCCCCGTCACAAATATCAAGGATACATTGGTTGCATCCTCCCCAAACGAGAACAATTCCACGATTTATTGGGCCCCCAAGTCCATTCTTGACAGGCAAGTTTTTGGCAAGACCACAAGTACGTTCTTTGCATTCTTTGTACTGAGAAACACCCCATGTGACCTCTATTCATAATCATCATCATCACCACCATATTCATCATCATCATCATCGTCATTTTACTGAATATCAGTTCTCCTCCTTTCCGTCCCCTTATACTCTGCTTGGTCATATAAGACTGAGGCCCGTACTGTATGTAGCTGAGCGACCCCACTGGAGATGTGTCTTCAGTGCACATGTTCACAGACATTCAGTGCAGCTTCCGTCTAAATGAACAGCCTAGAGAAAAGGACAATGACAACAGTATTACCAGGGCCAACCAAATAGATAAGAAGAGGAACAACATTCATTATGATTATTTGACCAATAATTTTAAAAAATCATTTTAATATTAAAGGAATATAAAGCACATGCAGACACACTGAAATATTACAGAATTTTAAATGATTTCTCTTATTGTCTTTGTTTATTGGCAATTCAATAGCTAAAACATCAAAATCATAACTGGGCCTGGTTGCAATCGTGAGCCAGTGGCTGATGCAAAATGTCTCTGATCACTTTTTACCTTCCGTAAGGCGGCATTTTCCCCCCCTGGGCTGACAGAGCACATAGGAGCACCCGGAACAGGGCACCACTCTCTGGGCGTGGCTGAACACAGTGGTGATCCGGTAGCAGCCTGCTCCAAACACGTACAAGGGCAGGGTCAGACAGCAGCAAGATCTGTCCACACTGCAGCAAGCCACACAGGTGGACTTCAGCTCACCAGCACAAAGATGGTTTGTGGGTTTTTACGAACCTGGGCACTTGACATCCATGAAGTACGAGTTAGGAGACTGCACAAGCCTTTTTTTCTTGTGTCGTCGCCTCTCAGCCTCATACGCTGGATACATCAGGTCCCGGGCGAGCTGTGACCCACAAATCATTTTATGCATTAAAATTCATTTATGCATGAACAGGAAAATGTACATTGCAACTGAATCAGAATGGTCCATTATAAATGCGAAACAAACATCTAAGAAATGTATTTAGGTATTTCAGCCTACAAACTCCAAGGACGGCTAAATACTGTGCTTAGCAGAGGTGAAGAAATTCAGTACCGAGGACGCCCCCTACTGTTTCAAATCAGTAAGATCGGAAAGCGCATGCCCTGACAGACATGCCCGGGCTTGTGCGCCGGCTATTATTCGCTAACTTTCCTTTCTCTTATATAAAAGCCCCTAAAAAATGATTTCGTCGTTGATAGGGCAATGCAATGCTATGGCAGACATTAAATGAAGTGAATGTCATAATTACTCTTCAAAAATGTTTTACTGTCAGACTGTTCACATCTTTATTAACGTGTTTAAATTTTTGCAAAAATATTTAATCTACTTGGCAAAATAGGGATGAATAAATAAACAACGTTATTATCAGCTGCTAAGTTCTCTTGATTTTTACAAGAAAAAAATACAATTCACGTTTTAAACAACAATGTAGTGTTATCTATCCTACTGCGTAAAATCATTGAGATCTTTGTTCGTATCTCCAAGAAGATAATACTTACCGGCATTTTATCTATTTTCGTGCTTGTCCGTTAGAAGCAAAACTTAGTTATGGATGGGAAGCTCTTGTGCACCTGCCTGTTCAGCTCCTGTACTTCAGCGAAGACAGACTGTAATAGAAAACAGAGCCTCCGTCCCGGAGGGCGTGACTTACAATGTATGAGGAGCTGCGTTTGACATTTGGGGGGGCTGGGCCTCAAAACCTTCCTCTATGACTGTCAAGTTTACATGTTTGAGTTCCTCTACTCTACAGTCTAAAAACATGCAGTTCGATGAATCTGTGTCCGATGACAGTGAACTGGTGTCGCTAACTGGGAGATGAAGCTATGGATTAATTGCCATTTTTATGTGTGTGATGGCATCACACCCAGAGTGCTGTTGTGTTTCTTGGGGTGGGCTCCATGCTCTGTACTGGATAAGCAGTTTGAATATGAGTGGGTACTTATATCGATTAACAAAGTTTGGATGTCTGTAAGATGTTTTATGTTTCTCTCTTCTTTTATGTCTACTTTGTTCCTAGGTTGTCCTGTATTATCGTAAGCAAAATTTCCTTAAAACACTAAAAACTATTAAATGTTTAATATCATTAGCCACGCCTTCTAAAAACGAGAGCCAGCCGACCACTTCAAACCGGCAGTCCATCAAAAACCTGCTGCACGACCCGATGACGTCATTTCCGGCGTAGATATTCGTAGAAAAAATAAATTATTATAAAAGAATTACAACATTTTGTAAAAAAAAAAAAAATCAGTCTATTTATATTTTTCTGTAAGTTGGTCTACGATTTATTCAAATAAATACTGTTACATTTATTCAAATGTATTACTGTTAAATTTTCTATATTGAAAATATGTGCATTGTATTTCTTAAATATATATTTTTTTAAATCCGTAGACTGCAGAAACTGTACAGAAACTGTGTAAATGACGAAGGTAAATCCATATAGGTGGACATACAGGACCAATGTTTCCGTATGTAAAATATCGAACCAGTTCGACCAATCGGGAAGCGGTGGTGACGTTGTGCTGTTTGTGGGCGGGACATTTGCTGTAACTTCCGACGTGCTCTGCGTGGACTGTAAGCAGTATCCGGGGGGGCCGGGTTTACGCAAACATGGCGTCTCTCGGGCCCAATTAGACCGCAACTTGTTTCCCCCTCTAGTTCCACGCAGGTCATTGCATTTGCCGGGCGGGATTTCCGCATTACCGAGTAATATGGCGAAGACGTACGACTATTTGTTTAAACTGCTGTTAATCGGGGACTCGGGAGTCGGGAAGACGTGTGTTTTGTTCAGATTTTCAGAGGATGCCTTTAACTCAACATTTATCTCCACTATAGGTATGTGGCACTTTGCTGTTATCGTGGTTTATTCTTTATGTTTAGGTTTACCGAAACGTGCAGATCTCTCTGGCTACTCAATCAGCTAGCTATGCAGATATCCAGCGCTAATATTGCGTTTAGACTGGAACAAAATCACTTTAGTTTATGTGTGGGTGATGTTATCTAAACATTGTTGTTACCACTTCGTAGCTGACGACTTGGCTGATGCAGTCTAGATGTGGAATAAAACTACACTATGTTTAATCCGGCGCCTCGGTTGGATGCTGTGAAGCTTCTGAAACATTAGTAATAATCTAACTGTCTTGAGAAGTTGTCGGTGAGACGCCGCCTTTAGGTACTACATGTTATTTCCTTACGTTGTGACTCATTGGTAATGTGCGCAGATGCACATATATGTTACACATCTTCTGTACTTAGGACGGTCTAAATGATGTTGATTCTGTGCCGTTTTTTTTAACGCCGCCTGCATGTAACGCGGCGCTAGGTGCGCACTCGGCTTGCGGAAACGCCGCGTTTGCGGCGCGGCTTCTCCTGCGGCTCGTAGCGGCTGCTTCCGCTTATTCGCGTTTTCCGTGTTTGCCTGACGTGGGGGGGCGTGCTGCCCCCGGCCCCCCTCACCCACAGCCAGCGCTGTGTAAATAAGGCCAAATATGCATGTGTGCAATGAGATTATATCTAAATATATATTTAAGCAACTCGGACTGAAATATCCTCGGTTTCACACGTATTTTGTGGTATTACTTATCTAGTTTGAGGTGAAACCAGTCCTTAACACACAATGATCTTTCATCCGCGAGGTATTTAAATTGTATCTCAATTTATGATGAGTGAACTGACGTACTTGATGTGTCACTTGTGATGGGCAGGTACAGATCACAATAGATAAGTGTGATTAATTTTAGAAGTATGTGAGAACTTTAGCCTGGACGACTTTGTATCATGCCACTGGGTTACGACATGAGTTATTAGACAAGCCCGTATCATTCCTGCCAGGGGGTGTTGCAAGTGCCTTACCCAGTAATGACACACGTGTGGATTAGTTGTCCCCCGGTCCATACTGTCAGCCATAGCCGGCGGGGATCCTCATTCTCTGGTCCACAGAAATCAGTCTTTCCGGCCATTGCACTGGATGTTAAAAGCATTGGGAGCATCTGACAGCAGTGGCTCACACATGCATGTTCTTCATCACTACAAGCAAATGTGGTTCCTTTTAAAATATACCATTTTTATATGATGAAAATTTTTACTGTTCCACTGTGGTAACATCTGTTTTATTTAATTAAGTAAATGTCGGCTTGTATCTGTAGGAAACTTCAAGCTCAAGTAAGAGTATTATGGGCCTAAATGAAATAATTGTATTACATTTGTTAAATTACTTTATTATCACTATATTTTTTATTTGTAGAGCTGCTTGTCTTACATTGGATCTTGCCTGAAACATTGTTCTGTACACATGCAGCATCATTACTGCCTGATCTTTAATTCGAATCTGTCAGCTTGCCGTCTCCTATAAAGCAGGTGGCAATGCTGGTGTCCCATTTAAACTAAAGGTGTCACTTTACCAGTTCTTGTAATGACCAAAATAATTCCCTGGTCATACCTGCATGTGCTCCGTTTCATGTTCGTGAGTAAGTGGTTAGGCTGAACAAATTTAATTTTTAAGCTTACTCTATTAAAAGTTTGAGCCATTGAGTTTCTTAAATAACTGTGCTTAAGGGTATCGTTTAAAACATAATTTCTTCAGCTGGCCTCCTATTTCAGAACACGATGAAACACATTATATGTATTTTCCCATGTTTCACGGCACGGTACCACTCTGGCTAAGGTTCTAAGGTTGTTCTAGGCCCATGTTCTTGGAGGGCTGTTGTGTTCTTATGCAAAGGTACCTGGCCTGGATTAAATGAATTCCTCACTGTATGAGTTCAATTGTAAGATGTTTGTAAGTTTAAGGTGCTTAAGAGCCTTTACTAAGCAAATATGATTCATGAGCCATTCATGGGTTGATTTTTTTTATAATAATGAATTTTGTCATTTTATAGAATGCTTCATGGTTTTTGAAAATATACATCCACTTAGTGTTCAGATCCACAAATACTTTGTTTGACAGTTCTTGTGTTTGGTGTGTCCTACAGACAAAATCCTTGTGTATTGGGAAGAATCGTTATACTTTTCATCAGTTGGAACTGCTCAGCTGTAACCATTTCGGTTTGACCAGTTCAGATTTAAGCTCTGAAAAAATTTGGTATCTCCGCAGTAGTGCTAGGTCGTATGACCAAAAATTTGTCACTGAATTTTTTTTTAAGATTCTGCTGGTTTCGTGGTATTTAATTTTTTCTCCTCCCAAGTTCACCCTTAACGTGGCAGCAAGCGTTTTTACATCAATAAAATATGTTTATGAATGTTTTTAAAAAGGTGTGTTTTTATTAATCATTATTAAAAAATCATTTACATTTAGCTTGATAGTATAACCGGCATGTATTATTAGACTATTAATGTTTATTCAGCTCAATACTGATATAGGTTTTATTTATTTTTACCACGTACTTAGTCGATAAGAATTGTTTTACTCACATGTTTTATCACATTAAAAATGTATATTTGGCTAGATGGCGATGTGTTTTATTGATTATTACTGCATATATAGGTTGGTAACAGCATGTTTGCTTAATCAGCATGATTTTAATAATTATTACTGTGATAAATTGATAATATTAGGGATTCTGCTTTGCCAATATGCATTTGATTGCAGACCTAATTATATGACACACAATCCAAATTTTCAATGATCAGTGTTGTATGGAGCATTGTTGAGTTATAAAGTTATAACTGTTAGTAAGAAGGGTATGCAAAGGTGACAGGGGCCCCCAAAGCCCTCCATAGCGCCTCCAACAGGGGATTTGCTGCCATTGAAGCATCCCAGCTGCCGTTTCAGCTGTGCTACAGTGCTGCCGTTTCAGCTGTGCTACAGTGTGGCAGCATGTGAAACATCATTCTGCTTGCTGTGTTATTGTCATATCAGTTTATTGTCTTTGTTCTTTTGTAGGTATTGACTTTAAAATTAGAACAATAGAACTAGATGGGAAGAAGATTAAATTACAGATATGGTAAGTATAGACCAGATTCACTTAAGTCTGAAACTCAGCAAAAAAGTCAAATATTTTTAAAATGTGGTAAATTTTGTCATCCTCAGTTATTTTCTTTGAAATAGGGTAAAATATAAGGAGTAGGATTTGAAAGTTTTATAGTACTATACACTGCTTTGTCTAGCTCAGTAGGAATTGCTATATGTTTGTGTCCTGTTATGAGAGAACAGAGCTCTGTAGCATAGGAAATTATACATATTGTATGAAGATAATTGTTTAATATTAGGTGGCTATAAATCACATTTTGTTGTTTATAAAATTACCAATGGTTTAAGATGAATCTATAAAAATGGTAAAAAAAAAAAAAAAGTGTTGGTCTGTCATGTATGAATTACTTATTGTAGTAAAATTGTCATTTTCCATGTGATAGACTTTTTACTTGCACGAATGTATGTGGTGCTTTTAAAATCTCACTAAATAATGACAGCAGTGACATCATCTGCCATGTTACTGTTTGGCAGAATTTACGAGTGAGGCTTTTACCTCCATGTAGTCTCATTGAAACATAAATTTTAGGGATACCGCTGGCCAGGAACGGTTCCGGACGATAACGACGGCGTACTACAGAGGAGCCATGGTAAGAGTCGGCCTCTGCATGTATTCCCCCTGCTGGCCTGGCCGTGTCCTCGTAGCCTGGGTTACAGCACGCTGTGTCTGAGTGCTCGCCTGCTCCATCCACAAGGCCTTTCTGCCTAATTTCAATGTTGTAAATGGGAATTACCAGCAAGTGGTGACTGTCGACCCTTAATGTCCAGGACTGCTCGGCTGGGTGTTTCTGTGCTTCGCCCAAGCTAATATTACACCACTTCAGGACGAGCAAACCAGGGACCGTGACAGGACCTTAATTTCAGATGTTTATGGCTTGATGTAATTGGATTTTTATTAGTATCATGAAACACACATAGTATCAACCTTTTCTTCCTTCCCTAATGTAGGGCATCATGCTAGTATATGATATTACCAATGAAAAGTCTTTTGACAACATCAAGAACTGGATAAGGAACATTGAGGAGGTAATCTTGATTTATTGTATCGTAGTTATTATTATTATTTGCTATACTTGTGTGTAATTTTTACAAATACCTTCCATGACACTGTTGCTAACTCCCTCCCCACACTAGCATGCATCAGCAGATGTGGAGAAGATGGTCTTGGGCAACAAGTGTGATGTTAATGACAAGAGGCAAGTGTCCAGAGAACGAGGGGAGAAGGTAAGTGGTCT